AGAAACGGAAACTGAACACCGGATTTACGTGGTATCCCTGGATAACCAGGACTAATCCACGGAAGAGCGAAAGCTCTTCTAGCTACTGATTTTACTGAGATCTGATTTTGAACGAGAACTGAATGAATCCTCCAGCTAGCTCTCTCTACAGCTATATACTACAGCCGAGCTCTCTCTAGGGTAAGATCTACAAGTTACGTACTTCCCTAGTGCATGGGCTTACATGGGCTGATAATACGAATGGGCTAAGCTAATTACAAGATGGGCTATATCCGCTAACAGCCTCCCCCAAATTGATGCCGAGTTCTCAGCATCAATTTGTCTCCGAGATACCAATGCTGACTAGTAGAAAAGGCTTTAGTGAACAGATCAGCAACTTGTTCTTCAGTCTGTATATGTTGTAGCTGGATAGTCCCATCTCGAACCAGATCACGTATATAGTGCACATGAATTTCTATATGTTTCGTTCTGTCATGCAGAACAGGATTAGTAGCGATGCGGATGGCGCTGGTGTTGTCGACATGAAGCTCCAATGGCGTCGGACAGGACACGCCTAAGTCTGCAAGAAGGCGATGAAGCCACACTAATTCCGAACTGACCTCTGACATGGCACGATACTCGGCTTCGGTCGAGGACTTGGAGACCTTGTCCTGCTTCTTGCAACGCCAGGAGATGAAAGATCCTCCGAACTGAATACACCAGCCAGATGTGGAACGCCGAGTATCGACGCATCCTGCAAAATCAGAATCAGAGAACCCACGAAGAGTGGCTGAACCAGTCGAGGGAAACAGAAGCCCGCAATCCTGAGTACCCTTCAAGTATCTCAAAATACGATGAACCGCAGCCAAGTGATCAACCCGCGGATCCGTCATAAATTGACTAACAACCTGCACAGCATAGGATATATCAGGACGGGTAGCAGATAAATAAATTAAGCTGCCAACTATACTTCGATATTGCGACCCGTCCTGCAGTCTCTCCCCAGAATCACGATGCAACTTGAGATTGAGTTCCATTGGAGTCTTGACTGGATGGCAGTCTTCGAATTGATTATCCCCCAGTAGATCAGTTCTGTACTTGCGTTGACTAAGCATAATTCCTTTGGAGGATCGCATGACTTCTAAGCCCAGAAAGTACGATAGCTCTCCCAAATCTTTGATGCGAAAAGCAGACTTGAGACCATCTTGAAGGTGGCGAATTCCTTGATTGTCTGACCCTGTAATTATCATGTCATCGACATAAAGCAAAAGGACCACAATTCCAGCTGAAGTTACCTTTGTGAAGAGAGAGGGATCGTTCAAACTCTGTTGTAGACCAAGACTGCAGATAGTAGACTGAAATTTTTCAAACCAGGCTCTAGGAGCTTGCTTCAGCCTGTAGAGAGAACGATGGAGGAGGCAGACTTGATCAGGACGGCCTACTGTGTATCCCGGAGGTCATTCCATGTAAATTACCTCCTCCAAATCGCCGTGAAGAAAGGCATTTTTTACGTCCATTTGCAGAAGCTTCCAATTTCGTAGAGCAGCCACGGAGAGGAGAGTACGAACGGTGGACATCTTGGCCACAGGAGCAAAGGTTTCGTTGTAATCCACCCCATGCTCCTGTGTGTAGCCAAGTGCGACTAGGCGGACTTTATGGCGTTCAAGCTCACCATCTGGAAGCAGCTTGATGTTGTAGAGCCAACGACATCCTATAGTCGGAGGACAAGGGACTGGGCGGTCTACGACGGTCCAAGTATGGTTGGCATGGAGTGCGTCAAATTCTTCATTCATTGCGTTGTCCCACACAGGATTCCCTCGAGCTTGACTGTAGCGCGTGGGGACAATATAATTTCCCACCCCATGCGCGACGTAATCTTCATGGCGGAGAGGAGGGACTCCCTTTGTAGCTCGAAGTGATCGCCGAACAGGAGGAGGAGTTGTGGGCGGTGAAGAGGCAGAACTGGATGTTGATGAAGTAGTTGAAGTGCTGGCGGTATGTGCGTCGGTGGTGCTAGGAGAAGTGGTAGCTGGAGAAGAGTGAACTTGGCTGTTGGTGTGTGCGCTGGATGGAGAGGTAGTGGGAGACAGATCATCATCAGAGGAGGGATCCTCGGGAGGAAGCCAATCAATATCATCATCAAAAACAGGTACGGTAGACATGGGAAATGGGGACTCAATGGACTTAGCTTCCTTAGCATAAAACATGAGATGTTCAAAAAACACGACAGTGCAAGCAATGCGAATACGTTGAGTAGAGGGATCATAACACATATAACCTTTGTAAACATCACTATACCCTAGGAAAGCACAACGAGCAGTCTTGGACGTCAATTTCGTACGTTCACGCTTAGGTAACAAAACAAAACAGAGACTCCCAAAACCACGCAATCGAGAGTAATCCGGGTGACGAGAGAACAAGGCATAAAATGGGCTCTGGTTTTGTAACACAGGAGTAACCTGGTAATTTATTAACCGGACCGCAGTAGCAACTGCTTCAGGCCAAAAACGACCAGGAACGTTAGACGCAAGAAGCATGGCGCGCGTGAGCTCAACAACATGTCGATTTTTGCGCTCAACCAGCCCGTTTTGCTGAGATACTCCGGGGCAAGACATTTGATATAGAATACCACGAGACCTATAGACTTCATGCAACGGGTGTGAGCTAAATTCACCACCAGGATCAGATCTAATAATTTTAACAGTACGATCAAACTGAGTCTGAACCATGTTCAAAAAATCCACAGCCACGGAACGAAGTTCAGACTTCACATGCAAGAAATATACCCAGGTAAAACGCGTAGCATGATCAACAAATAGAGCAAAATAACGGAATCCTAGACGAGATAAGACAGGAGAAGGGCCCAAGAGATCGGTATGGACAACATGAAAAGGTTCGGAGATAACAGTAGAACTCGAAGGAAAGGAAATAGATGAAGTTTTAGCTTCAACACAACTAGTACACGAATGATTTCCAGGATGACTAACCGACTGTTTACCAAGCAAATTCTTCTTAAACATCAATGAAAGACGACTCGAATGAGGATGCCCTAAACGGGCATGCCAGAGTTCCCAAACTTTATTGGCTAAACTAGCAAAGACAGGACTCGAACTATAACTAGAACTAGGAGCATGATCAGGAAAAAACGACGACCCAAGGCATGATGATGATTGATCTTGTAGTTCTTCCAGGTGAAACACCCTTCCCCTTTTACTCCCTCTTCCGATCTGCCTCCCCGTCTTCGTATCCTGGATAATACAACCATTTTCCGCAAAAGTAACAGAACAACCATGCTCAGTAAGTTGTCCTACCGAAACCAAGCTGGGAACTAAATCAGGAACATGTAGGGTTTTACGTAGACTAATGCATGGTGAGATCACATTCCCTATGCTTTTCACGTCCATTTTAGACCCATTTGCCACCATTAAACCCATGTGATTAACATGCTGAACATCTTTCAATTGACTAGAATCAGAAGTCATGTGATTATAACAAGCTGTATCTAGTAACCAGGGAGAGTGACGTTTACCATTTCCTTGCAGCGCAGCAAAGGCAGAAGAGATGGCTGTCGGCAGCGACTCTTGGAGTGCAGCAACAGCCCGCGTCAGCTGCTCAATTGATGCGTTAGTGGATGTCCCAGCTCCCGAGCTGCCCGCTGCTTCCATAGTCACACCATAAGCTGGGCGTGCGTTGTATCCAGGAGGTGGACGAGCAACCGGGGCTGCCGCATCTCCTCCGGCAAAGCGAGCAGCGTTTCTCTCTCTAGTTCTACACTCAAGCACAACATGCCCCATTTTCTTGCAGTAGACATAGTAGTTACGGCGGCGGCAGTGCTTGATAAGATGCCCCTTTTCATGGCAATGATGGCAAACAAGTTCAGAGTTAGGTACCCTCCTGTGAAACTGTGGTTTCTCCACTGCATATGCTGACTGATCCAGGCGAACATTAGGAAGCTGCTGTGCAGGGGTAGCAGCAAAGGTCTCCCCAGCACTCGGTCGAACATCAAATTGAGCCTGAGTTCTTAGGCGTATCTCTTCGCGGATCAGGTGTGGGAATACTCCGGTCAAGCTCAAATCATCCCTATTTAATAGAGTAGAGCGAACATGTTCAAACTCAGGACGTAAGCGCATAAGGAATTGCATTAACCTCGTTTGTTGTCGCTCGCTGATCATCTCGTCGGTAACGGCAGCGTCGGGCCTCAAGGCTGCATTGAGAAGATCTTGTTCTGTCCAGATTTCTTGGGCGGCATTAAAGTATTCAGCAATGGTGCGGTCGCCTTGTTCCAGTCGACTCAACGCAGTTTGGATCTCTAACTGACGTGCGGCGTTGACGGTGGAATAGAGAGTTGATAAATGACGCCACATCCGATTTGCGGTGGTGAAAACGCGGAGGCTTAAGCACGTCGGCGGATCAACAGAACCCAGCAGCAATGATCTCACTCGTGCATCATTTTGGTTCCACTCGGCAACAGCCTTTTCGGTGGCAGCAGCGCCGGTTGGCTTCGGAATCGTCCCATCCAGTATACCCAGCAGTCCTTTCCCTTCAACATTCACGCGGAATTGGAATTCCCACAGAGCATGCGTTGTAGGAGTCAATCGAGCAATGCTCCTTTCAGAATCAGTCGCGGTTGGCTCTGATACCATGATAAGAAATAGATCAGAAAATTCAAAGAACAGAAACGGAAACTGAACACCGGATTTACGTGGTATCCCTGGATAACCAGGACTAATCCACGGAAGAGCGAATGCTCTTCTAGCTACTGATTTTACTGAGATCTGATTTTGAACGAGAACTGAATGAATCCTCCAGCTAGCTCTCTCTACAGCTATATACTACAGCCGAGCTCTCTCTAGGGTAAGATCTACAAGTTACGTACTTCCCTAGTGCATGGGCTTACATGGGCTGATAATACGAATGGGCTAAGCTAATTACAAGATGGGCTATATCCGCTAACACGATTGTTTATTAATGTAACTATAATGGTCGATTTCAACAAGATGCCATTCGATTAACCTTTTGTTTCAAGAACTGAGCTGGAGGAACCTGAGCGCCATGGGATGCTTAGCTTGAGCGAGCTCATCAGGCCGGAGAACCTCAACGATTTCACCATCGACGAGCAAGAAAACCAGATCAGCAACCCTCTGAATCTGCTTGATACTGTGGGAGACCATGACGACGGTCATTCCCTGATCGTTTTTCAGTTTAACCAGAACATCTTCAACATTCTGCGTCGAAATCGGATCCAGAGCGCTGGTGGGCTCGTCGAGCAAGAGGACGTCCGGCTCGTTGGCCAGAGTCCTCGCCAGAGCGACCCTCTGCGCCTGTCCGACGGAGAGCTCGCTCCCTTTCTTCCCGTAGAAGGACGGGTCCAGATCCGCCATGGAAAGGAGCTCGCGGACCTGCTTTTCCGACAGATTTTCGCCTCTCAGCTTGGGGCCGTACCGGACGTTGTCGGCGACCGTGCCCTGGAACAGCGCCGGGAGCTGGAACAGCATCCCGACTTTCCGGCGGAGGGAGACGACGTCGATCTCGGTGATGTCGCGGCCGTCGAGGAACACGGTGCCTCGCGGTGGCTCCCAGAGGCGGTTTAGGGATCTGAGAAGCGTCGATTTCCCGCTGCCGCTGGGGCCGATGATTCCGATGATTTGGGATCTAGGGATTTCCATCTCCACCCCGCGCAAGATCGGGACGCCGCCACCGCTAGCGGAGTCGGAGAACTTGGTTAAGTTATTGATGCGGAATTTAGCTCCGGCGGCGGTGGGGGGATCGTGATTGCCGGATTCCACGTCGGCGCGAAGTAATTGCTCGTGAATCCCATCTTCATCTGAAGCGAAAGGGAGCAGGGGATGAAGATAAGGGAGAGCAGGAAAAATCAATTCAGTGAGAGACGGCGAGGAGCTACCTGCAGAGGCCGCGAGAGTCGGCGGCGCCATTGTTGCTCTGCTGCTGAATGTTGATCGATTAATTGGCGAGTGACTGATGGATGATATATGATCAAGGTGGAGAAGATGAGGAAGAAGAAGAAGCCTCCCTCGGTAATGGGCATTTTTGGATCTGGATTTTGGGGGGATTTTTGTCCTATGCTCTGTTTCTTTTGCGCGGATAAATCAAAGGAACAAACGGACCAATCGAGGCTAAAGGAGAATCGTATCATTAGTTTATTAATCACCACCGCCGTGTGTACACACATCCCCAGATAAGGACACTGACCAGTACTCTAGTAGGGCTATTAATGAGTCGAGCTATTCGATAGCGGCTCGGTATCGAATTCGATCGATTAAAAAAATCACGTCTCGTTTAGGCTGTTAATGAGTCGAGTTATTCGTTAGCGGATCGGTATCGAACTCAATAAAAGGTCGTTCGATAAAAAAAAAAGTTCGGCTCGTTAATAAACGAGCCGAGCTTGAGCTTTACATTGTTCGGCTCGTGAAGCTTGTGACCTTGCTCGATTAGGTGGCTCGTTCAATACAACTCATGAACTGTCTCGTGTTGAGTTTATGAGAAGTCCCAACATTGTGGCTAGAGAGCCAACTCGACTACAGATTATGAGAAAAATCAATCTTGGTTTGTTAATGATACATATAATTATTAAATTATATATATCAGCTCATATGGTATTTAATACATTGAGTATATGCAAACAAATATGTCTCGTCTCATATATGAAATAACATTAGTTAATCACATGTATCACATATGACATATAAATATTAAGGTATTTTATATTATAAATTATCTTAGAGTTGAGCTCGAGCTGAACTTTCGATCTTAATGATGTGTCAAGATTTAATAAATGAGCTGACTCGTATTCAAGTCGACTCGGCTCATTTATAAACAAGCCGAACATAAACAAGGCAAAACTCGGATCGGCTCAATTCATTAACAGCCCTACTCACGGGATATTCTTGCTGCTGGTAATGATGACGACTAGTGACCGAGTATTTTGTGGACTGGATCATGAACCTTCACGATGGGCGGAAGGTGTTTGTTTCCTTGACGGTTGGGGCTGAATGATAATGGGTTTCGGTAAAATTACATATCAACTCACAATAATTAAGGGGTCGTTTGGAAGTTGCGTATGTTAAATCGTTGTATTGTTATGAATTACTATGATATAAATGCATGCATTGATACAATAGATGCATTTTGAAATTATATTGTTTGGTTGTTGAGATTATAATTTATTAATTAATTGTTATAAAGTTACTTTATAAGGAAATGTCATATTTGACCTCCACTTTTAATATAAAACAAAAAGAACTATGGACATAATTGGAAAAAGTAAAGGTGCTCAATTATTAAACCAACAATCACAACAATCTCAACTTTTAGTTGAGATTGTACAATCTCTCATTTTTGTTGATTGTTGGTGGGACCCACACAAAACAATACATGCATTGTTTTGCAACTTGACACTTCCAAACGTTGTATTGCGGATAATGTATGTATTTAACAAATACAACACTAACAATCGCAACTTCCAATGGGTGCATTAGGCTGAATGTTTCATCTCCCACCGTGAGATTAGAAAATTTGGCTTGATATATGATTATCACCCAGTTTATCAATTAATCATGAAATTTTATCACAAAAGTTTCATTAACTGTTGAAATCAAAAGGAATTTCTTAATATTTTAATGAAATATATAACTGGTAGACCTGGTGGGACAAATCGATTAGGCTAATCAGTGATACCTTTTTTCCAAAAGAGATAATGAGTGGACAAGAAAGGATAGGCTGATGCGAAGTTTGGCTAAGAAATGTCGGTTGTTGTATACTTGTATAATTGTATTTGTATTCATACGCTGCGTGCTTCCCTGGCCGTCCACTCTCTTCCCGTGCAGACCTGACTTCTTCGCCGGCGGCGGCGCCGGCAGCAATTGGAGGCGACCCGGCGAACATACTCGGTAGGTCTTCTTCTCAGCTGTACACATTTTGTTTTTTTTTTGGTAAAAAATTGCATCTCCTTTCCTCTGCATTTTCAAAATCCCGATCTGGATCTGCAGATGTATCCTTAAATGATGAGTACTTTTTTTTTGAGCCGGTTCCCTTGATTAACCAAACAAGAGATATTGTGGTAAGGGCAAAAGAGTTAAAAACGAAAGGATTCTGAGTATGATGTTTTGAACATCCGACAAGAAAACGTTGTTTCATACACGCTGAACTTAGTTAAAAGAGGGACTTATTATAATACTGATCACTCAGTGAACGGCTTTCGAAAATTTACGACGCGAAGAAGTGCGCGTACTGAAGACCTCTTTTGCATTTGTTTCCTTTAGTTTTTGCTCCTCGTAGTACTAACAGGGTTGCCCACCGCGTGGCACAAACGGCCCTTGCATTGGTAGCAACCTAGTTGGTTGACTACCACATCTATATTTCCTCTGCATTGTAACAAATTATTTAATACAAACTATCTATGACAAAAAAAATTGTTTAATGGACTTATTACCACTAAGAGATACAAGTTTAAACCTAATTACCCTCGTAGGACTAAAAAATATCTTTTCCTTCATAAGGATAATTCTTTAAGACGGTTAAAAGTTCATTTTTTTTCCTCCTTAATATTGGTTGCAAAAAGAATTTTTCCAAAATTATAGACGAGTGGAGTATGATGTTTAGGATAACGACTAAAACTTGCATGTTTATGTTAGATCAAATATATGAGTTCTAATTACACATTCCAAAATTACTCGTATCAGATTGAAATTTGCTCAGGCATCATGCATCTTGTGCTCTACCAATGAGAGTTATTTGGAGTTCGAACAAAAGACTTCTCGATTACAAAAGTCTCTAATATCATGTCAATAACAAATTGACCTCAATAACTCAAAATATTGTAAGAAGTTCAATTATGAATCGTATACCAATACACTTAAATGTATTGATTAATATCCTAATACAACTCAATTAGCCGCCTCCATCAAGTAGCCGCCCCCATCACTTAATAAACTGACACTGTATGCATATTTTTTTTACTTACTTATTTATACACTGCGTGATTCCCTAGCCAGTCCACCCTCTTCCCACGGACATCTAGCTTTCCTCCCCCAGCAAACGGCAGCAGAAGATTTCACCAACTCCCGGCGGCAGCAATTAGGCAGCGACCTCCCGAACATATTCTGTAAGTATCTTCTTCTTCTTCTTCTTCAACTGTACCCATTTGCTTCTTTCGAGTTCCATCACATTGTTCTTGACTTGTTGCCCTGTTCCCTCTCTCTCTACAACTCATCTCGATCTCCTCTCTCTCTTTCCTGCATTTTCAAAAGCCCCAACTCTGCATCTCCAGATGCATCTTCCATTTTCCCCAACCCTCCTTAATGGAGAAGAGTTCTGCTTCGTGCTTCATCTCTTGGAAGGAACCCATGAAAGATTCAATGCCACTCTGATTCGCATTCCCTGTTGAAAAACGGGGGTTTTCCCTCGATTACCTCTGAGCTTCATAGATCTCCCCTGTTCTTCCTTAAACCGGTACATCTTCCTCTCGCTCTGCCTAAGCGGCTCACCAATCAACCGTCAATTATGCTATTAGAATGGGCTTGTAAATTAGGGTGGGCCTTGCTCTAGAAAAAGATGGGCCCATGGTTAAAACTTAAAAATCATTCATCACTTGCCTCCAACTTGGCAGGGCCTATATATATACACTCAAGCTAAATTTGTGTGTAGTATAATGATGCAATCATCCTTATCTTTTACATTACTACCATGATGAAGTGCTGAGTTGTGTGTATTTGGGGATGTTTCGCCTCCATATTTGACAAGGCATTTGATGACTCGTATGTGAAAGCATGAGTTGGAGATTTTTTTTTGGTTCATTCAAGATGAATTTATCACCATTTCATGAGTCTATAAATAGTGACTGAAATGAGTGATGAAAATAAACACTTCACCTATCATCTATAACTCTCTTATGGGTCGTTTGGAAGTTGTGAATGTTAAATCGTTGCATTGTAATAAATCATCATAATATAAATGCATGTATTGATACAATGGATGCATTTTAACAATACATTGTTTGGTTGTTGAGATTCTACTTTACGCATTGATTTACATAAAGTTATTTTTATGGAGAAATGTCATATTTACCCTCAACTTTTAGTATAAGACAAAAACTATTAGGGATATAAATGGGAAGAAAAAGTTGACACAAATCAAAAAAACAACAATCACAACTTTTAGTAGAGATTGTATAATGCATCATTTTTTGTGATTGTTGGTGGGACATACCTAAAATAATGCATGCATTGTTTTACACTTTGCCACTTCCAAACATTGTATTGTGCACAATACATGTATTCAACAAACACTGTAGTTTTTCAATCCACCAAAGTTCGTGGCTAGTACCGTTCCGTGGACGTGATCCGATTAGAGTTTGTGTGGATACTAATAGAGGAATTGGCTATAGCTGTTGTGGATGACTCTTCCTTTTATCTTGCATCATTTTGAAGGTCGGAATTTTAAACTCTAATTCTTTATCCCTCACCTAAATCATGATGGGTTTTTGGTTAATTTTCGCTATGTTTTTGGACCCAAACCCAAACCCAACTGACATGTATTGTATTCCAATTTATGCAAGCCGCTCTATCTTAATATTAGTTGTTATGCGCAATAAGGATATAGATTTTTCGAAAGTATTGATATTCAAATGAATGGGAAACATCCAACCATAAATAAATAATATTCATCAAAGAAGAGGATGCCACTTTTTTTTTTTTTTTTTTTTGCCATAAGAGGAGGATGCCACTTACAAATGAGAATCTTTAGTGGGGAAGGATACCACCAATCAACCTTAATGGGCTTTTAAATTATAGTGGGCTTCACTGTAGAAAAGATGGCCTCATGGTTAAACTCATTTATCACTTCGTCTCCATCTTGCAGGGCCCATATACACTCGCTAGCTCCAAAATGGGCCATCAATTCACGCGAGCCCACCTGCTTCTCTTACTGACAATCGCAGCCGCGGTTGCTTCACGCGCTCACAAGCTCAAATCCGCCACGTTCCTATCACCGGAGCTTGTCCTCGCCCCCGACTCGGTCACCAACACGCTCCACTACAACGTCGGCTTCCCGACCGGCCACATCGGACTCAAGAGCTTCCACGTCGAGCCCGTCGACTCCTCCGGCCGCCCGATCCCGCTCTACGACACGTATCTCCACCACTGGGCTCTCAACCGATACGTAATCCCCAAGGGTGGGAGTAAATCATCATCCTCCTCCTCCGACGGCGACTCCGCCAATTTCGTGCGCAACGACGGGATATGTCAGGGCAACATTCTGGGTCAGCACTACGGCTCCGGGTCGGAGACCAGGAGGATGGCGACGTTTCTCCCCGATCCATACGCGATCGAAATTGGGAATCCGGAGGAGGGTTTTGAGGAGAGGTGGATGCTCGAAATCCACGTGATTGACACGAGAGGGGTTGTGGATGGACAAGGATGCAGGGAGTGTTTTTTAAATTGTACAATGTGACCATCGGCGGTGGGTACGATGGTGGATTGAAGTGCTGTGAGGACGGCGATCAGTGTAGGGTGAAATTAGGGTTTCAGGGTAGGAAAAGGAGCGTGTATTTGAGGTATACTGTGAAATGGGTTGATTGGGTGGATGGTGAGTTTCTCCCTGTGAAGGTGTTCATTGCTGATGTTACTCATACAGGGGAGAGGGATATGACAGAAACTACTGGTTGCCAGGTATGAAGATGAAATTTGAACATGTGAAATGCAATGTTTTAAGGTGAAAATTAGGGGTGTTCAAATGGTTACCATGGTTATAACAAATCAAATAAAGCTAAATTTCATTAACCATGGAATACAATATCATAACCAAACCACCCGAACTAATACAACAACCAAATTAACCAAACTAAAGTTTAATCAGTTTGGTTAATTGGTTAACCAGATTAACCAATATAAAATCACATTATCATTAAGTGAGAAAATTTTCCAGTTAATGCATCAATTCGCAATTTATATAATGAATAAAACATAACAATCAACACATAGTTATAGTTGACCCTTAACATAAATACATGCAACTAAGACAATTATCTTACAATTAGTATAGAAGTATTCACCTAACAAAATTTTATGACAATGGTATGAGTTAATGAATTATTGTGTTTGTGTGAATTGACTTAGTCTCTTAGCAATTATCATAGGCTGGAAAGGACATTCCTTTCAAGTTTTCATCTATCATAATGTATGAGATTTATCTAAATTAGACGTTCATATGTTGTGGTCTACACTTTACATATACAAATATACACTATAGGAGCAATATTGAGCTTTATATTTTATGAGTCTAAAATGGATGAACGTTTAACTCTTGAGTGGTTATGCAAAGTATTAAGTATGTGTGTATAATATATATTAGATATATGATTAATTACTTAACTGGTTAATTTGGTTTGACTGGTTAGGAGTGTCTGAAACCAAACCAAACCACCTAAACCAAACAAGCTAAAAACTTTAACCAAACCAAACCAATTATCCAAATTAACCAAACCAAATTAACCGAATTATACCGGTTAATATGGTTAGCACGGTAACCAATCCGTTTGAACACCCCTAAGGGAGAGGGAGGCGCGCGGCGCGGTTGGCGGAGCAGGCCGCGGCGGAGGTAGAAGCGCGCGGTGCGGAGGTCGGGGACGACTGGCGGAGTCCGGCCAGCGATGCGGTGGCGCGAGCGGGCTCGGCATCCTTGGCGTCGGCAGCAGCCCGACAGGAGGAGGAAGGAGGCGACAACGGGCAGGAGACCATCTCCGCCGTGGCCGCTGGCGTGGCAGCAGGGTCAGCAACAATGCGCTTCAAGGTGCAGATCGCAGGAGAATGGGGTGTGGCCCTCGTTGACAGCGGGGCCTCCCTCAACTTTGTGGGAGAAGAGTTTGTACGCCGACTGCCCACATCCCAGGTGACCATCGTTCCCTTCGAGGTGAAGGTCGCCAATGGCGCGCCGCTGCAGTGAGTCGGGAAGTTGGCCGGAGTGTCTGTGAAGATTCAGGGGTTACAGGTCCCTCTCGACTTGTACGTACTGCCGTTACAGGGATTTGACATAATCTTGGGCATATCATGGCTTAAAAGCTTAGGTCCGGTGACTAGTGACTGGGTGAAGATGACTATACAATTCAAGTGGAGGGACAAGGTTTGGGAGCTGCAGGGCATGACCACACAACGGGGCCGGTTGAGTGGGGTGACCCACAGCTAGAGGCAGACGTCGAGCTCGATGTGCTCTGCTGGCCACTAGGATCCCACGGGCAGCAGGCCTCAGCCCCAGACTTGCAGACACTACTAGATCGTTATGCAGAGATTTGGGAATCCGAACCAGCTGCCCCCAAAGCGCCAGGTGGATCATCGAATTCGATTGAAGGAGGGCACGGACGCGGTTAACGTCCGATCCTACAAGTATGCGCACAACCAGAAGGCTGAGATAGAGAGACAGGTGGAGGAGATGATGACCGCGGCACTGATTCGGGCGAGCTCTAGCCCGTTCTCCTCGTCGGTGCTGCTGGTGAAGAAGAAGGATGGTACCTGGAGATTCTGCACAGATTATCGGGCCCTAAACAGCGCTATTGTGCGTGATCGTTTCCCCATTCCCACAGTGGACGACATGCTAGATGAGCTGCGGGGAGCCCAGTACTTCACCAAGCTCGATCTAAGGGCCGAGTACCATCAGATACGCATGCATGAGGAGGACATTCCTTAGACGGCCTTTCGGACACACAGTGGACATTACGAGTACCTCGTGATGCCCTTCGGACTCTGTAATGCCCAATCGACCTTCCAGGCTGCCATGAATGATATTTTTCGGCCGTTGCTTCGCAGGTCAGTACTGGTTTTTGTTGATGATATTCTGGTTTTCAGTAAGTCGTGGGAAGAGCATATGCAGCATCTGCAGGAAGTGTTTGAGATACTGCAGAGGAACCAGTTTTATGTGAAGGCATCTAACTGTACCTTCGAGGTCCAGTCAGTGGACTATCTAGGGCATGTGATATCGGGCGAGGGAGTCAGGGTGGATCCGATGAAGCTTCAGTCTATGATGGACTGGCCGGTGCCGAAGTCGGCCACGGAATTGCGGGGTTTCCTCGGCCTCACGGGCTATTATCGCAGGTTCGTGCAGGGGTACAGTTTGATAGCGGGGCCATTAAACGCTCTGTTGAAGAAAGGAGGATTCAGTTGGAACCCCGACGTAGAGAGGGCTTTCGGCGAGCTCAAGGCTGCTCTAGCTACGACTCCGGTCTTGGCTTTGCCGGATTTCTCTCAGCCATTTGACATCGAGAATGACGCATCGGACAGGGGGATCAGTGCGGTTCTATCACAGGAAAGGCACCCCATCGCCTTTATGAGTCGTACCCTTCCTCCATCCAAGGAGGCTTGGTCCACGTATCAGAAGGAGATGCATGCTATCACCGAAGCGGTTCAGATGTGGCGACCTTACTTGATTGGTCAGAAGATCCGCATCTACACCGATCACCAGAGTCTGAAGCATCTGATGGATCAGAGGGTGTCCACTCCAGATCAACACAAGTGGGTGGTGAAACTGATGGGGTATGACTACGAGCTACACTATAGACCCGGACCGACGAACAAGGCCGCAGATGCCTTGTCGAGAGTGGAGTGGAATCCGCAAGTGGCGGCGGTGACCGGACCAGTGGTTCTATTCTGGGAGGAGGTCCAGAGGGCAGTAGAGACGAGCCCGCACCTGCAGGAGCGTCGCGATATCGCTCTCAGCCAGACACTCGACAACTATAAGTTCCGACACGGGCTGGTATTCCACCGCGGCCAAGTAGTTCTACCGCCATCCACCTCCTTGACGACGACAGTGATGAGGGAATTTCACGATTCCCCGGTGGGAGGCCATTCCGGTTATGAGCGGACTTTGAGTAAGATCCGCAACCATTTCTATTGGCCACAAATGACCCGCGAGGTCAAGGACTACGTCGCGTCCTGTGACACGTGTCAGCGGGTCAAGGCCTCCCAGTTGCGACCGGCAGGACTGCTGCAGCCGCTGCCGGTGCCCGAGCGGGTCTGGGAGGACATCAGCATGGACTTCATAGTGGGGCTGCCGCCATCTGGTGGAAAGACAGTTTTGCTAGTGGTGGTGGACCGACTCACTAAATATGCACATTTTATGGCCCTGTCTCATCCTTACACCGCCAGGAGCGTTGCTGAGCAGTTCGTTTGGGGGGGTCATCCGTCACCACGAGTTTCCTCGGTCGATAGTGAGCGATCGGGATGCCCTGTTCCTGGAAAGGTTCTGGAAGGAAGTATGCCATGGCAAAAACGGAGCTAAAGATGAGTTCGGCCTACCACCCTCAGACGAATGGGCAGACAGAGCTGGTGAACAAAATCTTGGAGCAGTACTTGAGATGTTTTGCACATCAGCAGCCACGGCGATGGCTAGCCATGCTACCGTGGGCAGAACTGTGGTATAATACCACTTATCACCGGTCTATTCAGATGTCTCCGTTCGAAACTCTATATGGGCGGACGCCTCCGATGCTAGTCCGGTATCAGTTCGGAACGAGTGCGGTGGACGTGGTGGACAGGTGGTTAGCTGATCGGGATGAGGCGCTACAACAGTTGAAGGCAAATTTAGCCGCCTCCAACAACCGGCTGAAGCAGCAAGCGAATTCGGGGCAGAGAGAGGAGGAGTTTGCGGTGGGCGATTGGGTCTTACTCAGGCTGCACCCATACTAGCAGACTTCCGTGTTTAAGAGAGCTTACCAGAAGCTCGCAACTCGATATTTCGGGCCGTACCAGGTGCTGGAGAGGATCGAGGCAGTGGCTTATCGGCTGCAGCTACCAGACGCAGCCCGAATTCACCCCACATTTAATGTTTCACTTCTGCGCAAGTATCGAGGAGTAGCGCCACAGGCAATGCCGTCTGAGCCGCCGGTGAACGAGAATGGCGCTTTGGAGTTGGAACTTGAGGCAGTGCAGGATGTGTGCTGGCCTCTAAGAGGCAAGAGACGGGTAGCAGAGCCTAATTCAGTGGAAGCCTTTGGGACCCGAGGAAGCTACTTGGGAGGACACAGAGACGATCCGGCAGACCTATCCGGCTTTCCATCTTGAGGACAAGCTCGGTCTCGAAGGGGGAGGGAGTGTGAGAAACGCGAAGCAGGAGGCCGAGTCGGCCTATTAGGGTGGTATTATTGTCATTTGGGTATTATTAGGGGAGAGAACTATTTAAGTTACATTCTTTGTTATTTCGATTAATCAAGCATGATATCAGAATTATCAAACCCTAATCCCTCTTCTCTTCTTCAATTCCCATCTCAATTCTCAATTCTCAACCCTAATTCTTCTATTCTCATCCCCAATTTCTGTGTTTCTCACAGTTACAAATAGGAAGAAAAGGGTTAGGGCTCCTGATCCTGCTTCTGCTGCTAAGAGCCCGTGGAATCTAATTTCTGGTCCTAAGAAGTCGCAGTTAGATGATACTGCTTTTCCTTTATTGAGTAAGCCAATCTGGAG